GATTGGGTAACTAAACTAATAGATCAGGGTGGTGCAGTAGATATTGCTTACCTAGATTTCAGTAAGGCTTTTGACACTGTTGCACATAGAAGGCTTATCAATACACTGCAATCTTTAAGTTTGGATTCCAATATTGTTGAATGGGTAAGACAGTGACAGGCAACAGACAGAGGGTTGTAGTCAACAGAGTATTTTCGAAGGATGGGCTTGTCACCAGTGGGGTACCTCAGGGATCTGTACTTTTACCCATTCTCTTTAATATTTTTATTAGTGATATTGCAGAAGGTCTTGATGGTAAGGTATGTCTTTTTACTGATGATACTAAGATATGTAACAGGGTTGATGTTCCAGGAGTGATAAGCCAAATGGCAAATGATTTATGTAAACTAGAAAAATGGTCAGAGTTGTTTCAACTGACATTTAATTTAATAAGCGGTGGGTGGGGGCCATAAAGATAATGAGGGGGCCCCCACCCCTGCACGGGGGGACCTACTGTCCTCCCCCCGGCCCCCATCCTTGAGCGGTGGGGGCCATAAAGATAATGAGGGGGGTCCTACTGTCCACCCCCTGGCCCCCACCCCTGTGCGGTGGGTGGGGGCCATAAATTACAATTGGGGGACCTACTGTCCTCCCCCCTGGCCCTCATCCTTGAGCGGTGGGGGCCATAAAGATAATGAGGGGGGTCCTACTGTCCTCCCCCTGGCCCCCACCACTGTGCGGTGGGTGGGGGCCATAAATTACAATGGTGGGGACCTACTGTCCTCCCCCGACCCCCACCCCTGCGTGGTGGGTGGGGACCATAAATTACAATGGGGGGAACCTACTGTCCTCCCCCCCCGGCCCCCACCCTTGAGCGGTGGGGGCCATAAAGATAATGAGGGGGGGACCTACTGTCCTCCCCCCCGCCCCCCACCCCTGAGTGGTGGGTGGGGGCCATAAATTACAATGGGGAGGATCCTACTGTCCTCCCCCCGGCCCCCATCCTTGAGCGGTGGGGGCCATAAAGATAATGAGGGGGGTCCTACTGTCCACCCCCTGGCCCCCACCCCTGTGCGGTGGGTGGGGGCCATAAATTACAATTGGGGGACCTACTGTCCTCCCCCTGGCCCTCATCCTTGAGCGGTGGGGGCCATAAAGATAATGAGGGGGGTCCTACTGTCCTCCCCCTGGCCCCCACCCCTGTGCGGTGGGTGGGGGCCATAAATTACAATGGTGGGGACCTACTGTCCTCCCCCGACCCCCACCCCTGCGTGGTGGGTGGGGGCCATAAATTACAATGGGGGGAACCTACTGTCTTCCCCCCCCGGCCCCCACCCTTGAGCGGTGGGGGCCATAAAGATAATGAGGGGGGGACCTACTGTCCTCCCCCCGCCCCCCACCCCTGAGCGGTGGGTGGGGGCCATAAATTACAATGGGGAGGATCCTACTGTCCTCCCCCCTTGGCCCCCACCCTTGAGCGGTGGGTGGGGGCCATAAAGATAATGAGGGGGGGGATCTACTGTCCTCCCCCCCGGCACCCACCCCTGGGTGGCGGGTGGGGGCCCTAAGACAAATTCCTCCCCATCCAAGGTGACTAGGGGTCCCCAAGCCTCTATTCACCCCCCCACCCAAAAAAATTTAACCCCCTACCTACCCCACTCACCCTAAAAAACAGTGAGGGGGGAATAAAATAACTAACCTGTAAAGAAAAATTAAACTTACCATTTGACATCTTCTTTTTTCTAAAATCTTCATTTATCAGCCCCCAAAAAGGCCAAATAAAAAACCATCATACCTGTCGAACTTAAAATAAAATAAAAAACCTGAGGTCAAAAAAAACAAACAGACGAAGAAGAAAAAACCAGAGCGCAAAAAAAAAATCCAACTTTACCCGTGGATGGCTCTGCGTAGACTGAGCTCTGCAGGGCGGGGGAAGGCTTATAAAGCCTTGCCCCGACCTGCAATTAGGCTAAAAACACTCTGATTGGCTGGTATAAGCCAATCAGAGTGCTCTTTGTCATTTTACACAGCATTGGAAAATTCCAAAGAACTTTCCCACGCTGTGTAAAATGACACAGAGCACTCTGATTGGGTGGCTTGAAATCCATCCAATCAGAGTGCTTTGTGTCATTTTACACAGCGTGGGAAAGTTCTTTGGAATTTTCCCACGCTGTGTAAAATGAGAAAGAGCACCCTGATTGGTTAGATTCCAAGCCCACCAATCAGAGTGTTATGAGTCAAATTACACAATGTGGGAAAATTCCAAATAAATTTCCCACGCTGTGTAAAATGACACAAAGCACTCTGATTGGGTGGCTTAAAATCCATCCAATCAGAGTGCTCTGAGTCATTTTACACAGCGTGGGAAAGTTCTTTGGAATTTTCCCACGCTGTGTAAAATGACAAAGAGCACTCTGATTGGTTTAAACCAGCCAATCAGAGTGTTGTTAGCCTAGGCTTTATAAGCCTTCCCCCACCCTGCAGAGCTCAGTCTGCACAGAGCCCTCCATGGGTGAAGATGGATTAATCTTTTTGCACTCAGGTTTTGTCTTTTTCGTCTGGTTTGTTTTTTTTGTGCACTCGGGTTTTTTATTTTATTTTAAGTTCAACGGGTATGATGGTTTTTTATTTGGCCTTTTTGGGGGCTGAAAAATGAAGATTTTAGAAAAAAAGAAGACATCAAATGGTAAGTTTAATTTTTCTTTACATGTTAGTTATTTTATTCCCCCCTTACTATTTTTTAGGGTGGGGGGGCTGGGTGACTAGGGGCTTGGGGACCCCTAGTCACCTTTGATGGGGGGGGATTTGTCTTAGGGCCCCCACCCGCCGCCCAGGGGTGGGGGCCGGGGGGGGAGGACAGTAGGTTCCCCACCCATTATCTTTATGGCCCCCACCCACCGCTCAAGGGTGGGGGCCAAGGGGGGAGGACAGTAGGTCCCCCCATTGTAATTTATGGCCCCCACCCACCGCGCAGGGATGGGGGCCAGGGGGGAGGACAGGAGATCCCCCCATTGTAATTTATGGCCCCAACCCACCGTGCAGGGGTGGGGGCCTGTGGGGGGAGACAGTAGGTCTCCCCCTCATTATTTTTATGGCCCCCACCCACTGCTCATTATCTTTATGGCCCCCACCCACCGCTCAGGGGTGGGGGTGGGGGCCGGGGGGAGGACTGTAGGTCCCCCCCCATTATCTTTATGGCCCCCACCTACCACTCAAGGGTGGGGGCCAGGGGGAGGACAGTAGTTCCCCCCATTGTAATTTATGGCCCCCACCCACCGCGCAGGGGTGGGGGACAGGGACAGGACCTACTGTCCTCCCCCTCATTATCTTTATGGCCCCCACCCACCGCGCAGGGGTGGGGGCTGGGAGGAGGACAATAGGCCCCCCCCTTATTGTTATTTAGGGCCCCCACCCGCCTCGCATGGGTGGGGGCCGGATAGTAGGTTTTTTATTTACAGTGTGGCTGCTCACTGTTTAGTGGATTTTAATCTCCCTTATGCTAATATGGGGGTCATATTGACCCCCATAGAGTGAGGGGCGGGCCTGGGGGGCTTATGAAGTGGTGGGGAGCACAGCTCCCTGACACTTCTATCTTTACATATTACAAGGAGGGAGCTGTGTGCCGGTAGCTCCCTCCTTGTAATAAACTGCACAAACAAACGAACACTGATACACAGTATTTTTTTTCAATGTCTTGATTTTTATTAATAGTTTCTTATACGTCAAAGTTAAAGGGGCGGTACAGAAAATAAAAGGGGAGGGGGGTGCATACATTTGTAGAGCTATATCAGGCTTCTTGACATTGCAGGTCATACTTCATTACAATTGTGCATTGGCTATTCAGCATGGGTTGGGTGTATATTGTGAGTTAGACATAGACCATGATACATTAAGATTTTTTAACATCAACACATGATGACTTAGGTTAGCATGTAGTAGCCTGTTACAACAAGGTGTCACTCGTTGGCCTATTCGTGGGATAGGTTTCCGGTGCCACACAAGTAAACTCCGTGTTGTGTCTGGGTTGGTCATCGTGTCCTGTTGTTGTCTATGGGGCCTACTGCTCCAACCATTACACCCTGGAATCTGTCCTCCTCGTTTCCCTGCCTGCCATTGCAACTCTTGTCAGCTCTAGAGGGTTGTTGGTGGTTTGGGGGGTGGGGTAGGCATGGGGAGGTAGCTGCTTAATCTATGGTGTAGGTCCTTTTGATCCCTGCTGGGTGGATCAATAGATTGAGTATTAGCATATGAATTGGTCTCTAATCTGAACCCATCTTTGCCAGCGCCTAGTGTATTTATGTTCCTCGCTCCGGAGTCGGCTGGCCATTAGCTCATATTTGCTTGTTATGTCAAGTCGTGTTAGGACCTCTGTTATCGTTGGGCTTTGCGTTTGTTTCCACCTGTGTGCTATTGCTGTTTTTGCTGCTATGAGACAGTGAGTTAGTATGTGTAGTTCGTCCTCTCTGGGTGCATAAGGGAATAAATGTACCCTAACCTTTACTGTCTTCATGAGAAACTGTTCTAATGCATCCCAAAATTTAGTGATGTTCGGACATGTCCAGAATACATGGAGTAGCGTGCCTTCTTGGCCTTGGCAACTCCAGCACATGGGAGTTGTGCCTGGGAATATATACACTAGTCGCGTAGGTACCAGGTACCACCTCATAATTAGTTTACAGAACGCTTCTCTATGGGCCAAACTGTGTGTGGCTTTTTTGACCCTTTCTAATGCCAGTTGCCAGGTGTTTTGGTGGACTCTTATATTTAGGTCCTTCTCCCAGAGGCTCATATATGGTAGTACCTTATCTTCTAGGTGCATGAGAGAAGTGTAGCAGAAAGACAAGGATTTGATACCCTTTAGTTTCCCTTGGCATTTGAGGACAAATCGTGGCAAGGAAGACATTCTTCCAGTGTTTAGTTTATGTTCATGTAAGATGTTCTTTATGCGTAGGTATGTGAATAGTTCCCTAGAGGGGAGAGTGTAGGTCTGTTCCAATACTGGGAAGGGTGCCATACCAGCATTATCGAATAGGGTGTTTACGTGGAGAATGCCATGTCGGATCCATGTGTCGAGGCACATATCTGTCGTGTGAAATGCTAATGTCTGTAGGGGGGCTGCATACAGGAGGTCTTTGTTTACACCCAGTTTTAGGACTGCCTGTCTCCAGATACGGAGCAGTAGTTTCGTAGGGGGCAACATAGCAAGGTCCTTTGAACGTCGGTCGGAGCTCGCCCATCGGGCATCCTCCACCGTTCCCTGTGTCATGCATGCGTTTTCCAGCGCCAGCCAGATGGGAGGAGCTGTTCTTCAGGACAAATACTTTAATTTATATCAGTCATCTGCAGTTAACTGCCAACTTACAAAATCACTTAAAATGTCATCCTTACAGTGTAAAAACTCAGGAGCCAGTAGTATATCAGACTGATCACATACATGTGGGCAGCCCTGATCTGAAATGCTCCAAATTTTGGCCTTCTTTGGGCCTCTTCTGTGAGGCATAGCTGATACCACTCTTGGCAGAGTGAACATGTAAACCATATAAATTTTGATAGAATCTAAGTAAATGCATTGAAGCAAAGTAAAAGTATGAGAATACTGAGATAAATATGAAACTAAGTAGAATCAGACACAATATTGGACACTGAAGATGTTATATTAAGTACCCGAAACCATCATTGCATTAACATATTGGGGTAGGTATTTTTAGGTAAAATCAGTCACAACATCAGCTGGAGTCAGTGAGCCAGCATCAGCACCAGTAATGAGCAAGTGATGCCCAAGAAAGCCAAGGTAGAAGATGACACATAGGCTTCCAGTTTTCTGTGTAGTTTAGGCTGAAGGAGAAGGACATCAACAACACTGTGGCAGAACATCACACAGAACTGTCAGGTATAGTGACAAACCGGGCTCTGTCAGGGTTATTCACTAAAGTGGGAATTGCCAGGAAAAAAGTTGGTTACTAACTGGCTTTCACCCCATGACATTTAAGTCAATTAAGCACTAGCTAGGGTGCGCCAACTACTGCAGTCTGTCTATTTATTCTACAATGACAATATTGTGCAATATCTAGCATTGGATTGGCTGTGATCAACGAGATGGATTATCTTATCCATGGAGGTGGAACCAGGCAGGGCCAGACATGGTGAGACCGGCGCGGTATGGGAGAAAAGGTGAGTAAAATTTACCTTTTTACTGAGCTTTATGGGAGCTGGCTATTACATTACATACATTTTAATTCCTGACAATATAGTGTTCCTTTAATATAAGTTGACTTTGCGCACTGTGTAGATTCTGTAGCTGCGTCTTTCTCTATAACAATGTCCCATTTCTGCTACACTCCCTATATCCACCTTTTTCTCTGTCCCAGACTGCAGGAGCTTCTGTCTGCTTGTAAGACAGAAAGGAAAGCAGTGGACAAGTGAGTGCCGAGGAGGGAGGATTCAGAGTTTGTGATAAATGAGAGAGAAAGTTGAGAGCTCTGAGACTTGTAAGATGGACAGATAGACTTGGTTGAGAGATTGGCATAGGGTATAGGAATTCTAATACACGCATCCTGTGAGTTCGCCTCCGGCACTACCTCCACCAGATATAAGGCATGTGGGCGGTATGGCTGTTTTGGTGCTTTCTGTCTGTAAGTTTCTGTAATTAGGCCTATTATACTTATTAGCACCATTCCATAAAGGCTCTTAATCCAGCACTGGTAGTATGCTAATATGATGATGTGGAAAACATTCATAGCCCCAACTTTCAAAACAAAAGAAGAAACAATTTGACCCAATCCACGTGACCCTGCAGAAATGCTGAACGCATTAGATGATCAGTCTTTATGATGAAATTCAGTCGTGGTGAGAGATTAGCATGCATTACCTTGGGATGAAAAAAGCTACACTGGAATGGCAAAGTAAGTAGCAAAGGAATTACATGACATCCCCAACCTCAAAATAGAAAAAAAAGAGTAAATTAAATTAAAACCATGTCTTTGGACTGTAAGTTTAGTTTAAAAATGTCCTTTTAACTAACACACATTGTTGGCATTTCTTGGACTTTCCCCACTGTGTTATTTTAAACAGTGCGATAGTTCTAAATGTAATGCACAAAACTATTCACACACCCCCCCCCCTATTTGTATACTAAAGGACTCCCTAGCAATACACACATTACGTAACTATGTTTAATTCCTTGTCATCATAATATATTGACTTCATTGTGAGATATTTCTGATTTTTTGCGTGTACGTGGATATTCAGCTTTTTATATAGCTTTTTGTTATGTATGTTTGCACAATAATAATTGTATAGATTGCGGAATGTAAAAAAGGCTCACATACAAAGGAACCCAAACTAGTCCAAAAATGCAAAATAAGTACATTTCAGTTATTGTCAAAGAATGTGCAACAAAGTACTGTAAACCTAAGAAAGTAAGATTGGGATTGGTGAAATCATTTTTTTTTTTTAAATCGCTAATAGAGATATATTTTATCAAAGACATACACATCACTATAATTTTATAAACCTATTTAAAATGACCTCCCAGATGCATACTACTAAGCAGAATGTAAACCCCAAATCAAAAGCACACAGCAGAAAAAATAGCAAGTATAATGGAGAATTAAACAGAATAAAAAGTAATAAATAAATAAATAAATATAAATGCAAATAAGAAATAATGTTACAAAATAAAACCCCAAAATTTAAATATATGAGTGCAAACACAAATGTAAAATCAGTACTATAAATGAACCATTAAATATGTATTATGTATGTGAATACACATGCTAAACAAATACATAAACAAGAACATAAAAAGTATGTATCATAAAGTTAACATTCTGTGTGTTCAATTTATACATTCTAACAAAAGTACTAGCTTAGATTAAAAATCTTGATTAATAAATACATTAATAAATATAAAAAGCTCAGTATTATTTACTAAAGTGTGAATGACAAGTGAATAAATGCAAAGAAGAATACCTGATTTAGAGAATTTTCCAGTTCGGCAACTCTGGCTTTAAATTTGGCATTCACTTTGAATTCTCAACAGTTATCACTTTAGGAAATAACCCAGTATGAGTGCAAGCTATTACTGGGAAGAGAATTTGCTTCAGACAATTACAAAAACTGAACTGTAACAGAAAATTCCTATTTTAGAAACTAAGCACAAGGTCAGCTATCAAGATAGAAATATTAATGCTTAGTCTACAACATTTATTCCTTAGCCTTATTGAGAATACATGGCACTGTCTGAAAATCCAGAACAACCCGAAGAAAATCTGCCCATATGAATAATTAATGAATATTAATTAAAAAAACTAAATATATATATTTCTTGATGAAAATTAAAAAAAAATTAAAACAATTACTTTATAATTTTAAAACATCATATGATACAAAATTTTAGTGTACTTCTTGTAATTGATTAATATGAGATAAGTAGAAAAGTAGTCTAAAAAGTTTTGAATTCATAGTATAATATTATGATGGCATTGATTTGATATTTTTGGATACGTTTTGTACAATAATTTCTTTTTTATAAATATATATATTTGTAGTCGGGGCAATTTGGCCGAACAGAGAAATCTTAGCACAATACAATCATAACATCTATGAGTAGGCACCAGTCGGTTGTGGTGTGCCAGAACCGACAGAGCAGTAGGCCTGTAATAAAAGTGGGCCCACCTTAGAGGGTGTTATAAGTAGAGGGAGCGGTGGGAGGGGTGACTCGCCAGACCAGCAACAGTAAAGTGGGAGTGGATTGGCAGCCCTTTAAAAGGTGAACCAAGCCCCTCCAACAACTCCAGGCCAAGCCTTCAAATTTGTAGTCGGGGCAATTTGGCCGAACAGAGAAATCTTAGCACAATACAATCATAACATCTATGAGTAAGCACCATTCGGTTGTGGTGTGCCGGAACCGACAGAGCAGTAGGCCTGTAATAAAAGTGGGCAAAAAGAAAATAACCAGAAAACATAATTCGTGAATCAACTTTGTTTATTGAGATAAGTCACAAAAAGCTTGTCTTAATTCTTTAACAGGATTGGGTATGTAGAGTGTGTAAGCGGAGGATTTCCATCGCCCCATGGCTTTAATAATATGAGTGGGGACGTGGTTAGCGGATGCGGAAGATGCTGCTCCTATACGGAAAGAGTGGCCTGAAAATTGATTGGGGTTTAGGCCGAGCCTGGTTAACAGAAGTCTTATGTATAGCATGAATTTAGCTGTGGTCATAGTGTGTCCATGCAGTTCAAACAAAGGCTGTTGAGGTTGTTTGTGAACTGAAAGTGAATAAGTGTCTAACACTTTAACAGGGCACCATATATTTTGAGTAGGATACAGGGGTATCTGAATACTGTGTACGTCGGTGCTGGTTTTGGATTGTCTTAAAGAGAGAATATAATGGTCGGTATGTTTCTATAGATCAATGGTTCTGAGGTAGTAAGGTGCGGTTATGGTTGTGGTTGTGAATTCGCTAGGCCGTAGGAACCCGTACAAAGCAAGATATAGTGCGGTTTTTATAGTGCTATTTGTCATGGGTTCGAAAGGAGATGAATCTAATAGGTTGGATAGAGAGTGGAAGATGTTGTTGTCTGTAGGTAGTCTTCTTGAGGGAACATGTGTGTCTAATCTTTTAATGCCTTTAAGTAATGTTTTAATTTGGTATGAGGTTAGAAAAGCAGTACTGTTAGGTTGTTGGATGAGCATATGGTGTTGGATTCCAGTAAGGTACAGTTTAATAGTATTGAAGGATAGTTTAAGGTTAATGTGGCAAAAAGAGTTAAACCCCAAAATAGTCTCTAATGCAAACATGTCGTGAATGTGAAACTTGTGATACATTTTTTGAATACGTGAAATGCCCTATCATAAGTGTCCCTAGTGTTTACTGAGAGTGCCATGTGAGAAATGTGGCGTGCGTGATCTAGCAAGGTCTTTAATCCATGATCATGTCTTGGAAAAGAGGTGTGGGTGTTGCTTGTCTGGAAGCGTTGGGTAGTGACGAGAGGAAAGCCTGGAAACGAAACCGAGACAAGTGATCAGCAGCGGTGTTTGTGTAACCCGGGATGTGTATGCATGTTATGTAGAATTGGCAAGTGGCTGCTACCCATGTGAGACATCTTAGCAGTCTCATAATGACCAGTGATGCCGAACGGCCTTTGTTCACAATGTGGCATGTAGCCAGGTTATCCGAGTAGCACCTGACCGTGTGGCCAGACCAATATGGTCCCCAAGCAATGGCTACCGCCACGATTGGGTACAACTCAAATAAAGTCGAGGTGTCGGAAAATTTGAGTAGTGATTCGACTTCGGTCAGCCCAGGGCCCCAAAGCCATTTGTCACCCCAGATGGCGGCAAAGCCTGTGTTAGCTGCAGCATCTGTCAATAGTGACGGTGATGTGTCGGAGGGGGGTGGTATAAACATGGTTCGCCCATTCCAAGAAGTGAGAAAGACCCGCCACATGCGTAAATCAGAAGTTGCGTGTACATCTAATATGATATGTGAAGTGTCCGAAGAAAACAGTGGAAACAGGGATAACAGGTGGGATATAAAAGATCTACCTTGGGGTATGATCCTCATGGCAAAATTGAGCGATCCAAGTAGTGATTGTAGTTCTTTCCGATTGCAATGACCTTGTAGCAGGTAATGTTCAATACTTGCCAGGGTACGCTCAATCTTGTCCTGAGGTAGACTGGCCTGCATGTTTATCATGTCTAGTTGTAGGCCCAAAAATTGCATGTAGGTATCTGGACCCAAAGTTTTGTGAGGAGAGACAGGAATGTTAAGAGATTCAAACAGTGCCAATAAGTGATGCAAACTACTAGGTGGAAGAGTGTTATTCTCAATCAGGAGGAAGTCATCCAGATAATGGTTAACCGAAGGGCACTTGCACACATTTAGTAATAGCCAACATAGAGCCTCTGCAAATGTGTCAAAAATACGTGGACTACTTTTAGAGCCGAAAGTAAGTCTGGTGAAAAAATAATAGAGTGGTCGTTTGGGTCGCTCCTTGCGACCTTTGCTTGTTCCAGGGGGCCATAGGCAGGTCTGTAATGGGAGCTCTTGTATTGGCCGTGTCCAGCTGCCCTCTGCCACTTTTCCGTTGTTTTCAGCTTTGAGTAACGTCGCTTTGTGGGTGGCCATGTGGCCGTGCCTTGCCCAGCGTGTGCCTGGGTTTTGGAGCCCTGGGGCTCGCGGGGAGCCCTCCGGGTGTTTGGGCGGGGAAGCGAGCGTACCTCTGTATGGATCCCGTGCTCAGAGTGGATCTGACGTGCAGCCTCTGGTGAGTGCCCCTGCTTTTCATGCAGGGTTTGAGAGGAAGGGTTGCGATGTAGTCGCGTCCAGAAGGCCCTGCAGAGTTGGTCAAACCGGGCTTCGAAGCACTGCCTCCAATGCTGACGGCAATCAGGCTGCTGTTCATGCTAGGCCTCAGATGCGGATCCTGGCAAACCGGCTTGGATTGCTTCATGTGTGGTATTAAACTGTTCAGTCTAACTTCGTTTACCCGTCGGTAGCTCATTTGATCGCGTTTCTGGGCTTATTTGTGTCGTTTCGTCGAGTGAAAGATTGTGCAGAGCAGGAGCTGTGCTTGTGTGCATCTTCTCAACTCTGCGTTCAGGCCCCACCCCCTTACATATAGATATATTTTATATATTATATATTTTTTTGAAAATTTTAATATTTTGAAAAAATATTGATAAAATGGTATCCAAAAGTATTAAATCTAGGCCACAAATATAGATCAAACTCTTAAAATACATTCAGAATACGTACTTATTGAACAAACCTCTTAATCTTTAATTGCACACTTATTATTTATAATTCATTTTACTGATCACGCCAAACTCACCTGGTATTACCTGTACTGATACAATGTCTGTACTGGTCTGAAACAAATTCATGAATTTGACTTCTCTTCTTGCACTCCTATATTGTAAACTGAGAAGCAATTTCACATAATCTTATCAGGGTTTCCGGGAAATAATTGTCAAATTCAACACATTTGACAATGTTGATTTGAAATGAGTTTTATTCCATTCACAGAGAATTCTGCTATTCTGCACAAAATATTTATTTTATTTTATTCAGTACCATGGACAGAGAATGGAATTAAATAAGGCTATAGCTTAAAAACACTAGCAGTTAGCAATTGCCCCATCAGAAAAACATCAATTCATTAACAATACAAATTTGTTGGAAAAAAATTATAATGTATATGTATTGAATATCAAACTACATTTTCAAGATAATAAGAAAAATTAAACAAATTAATTGTTTCACGTACGTTTAGAAGCAATGATAAGGAAACATCAAGATTATGTAGGAAATTGGATTGAAGATTTAAAAATTATTTTTTTTAACAGTGATTAAACCTCCAGCTATGATCCCCTAAAAATAAATCTATAACAATTGATGCCAAAAAATGAAAAAGAGAAATGTTCTCGCGTAAACTGTCACCAGATGCTGAGTTTAGTCACTATAGGTAGCTTAAGAAATATAAGCAGCTTATATCAAATATTCAACGTTAGTATAAAATGCTAGTAAGGTTTTTCACTAGGAAATAACAGATAATTATCAAGGGACAATAATCTGACTGGATGAGTATACATTTAGAGATAAGAGATTTAATTGAACTTCACTAATTTGGCCTAAAATTGGATTATTGGTCATTTTGTAGTGTTAAAGATGTGCTTAAATGGATTGAATATTGTAAAAAAAGATTATTACGTCTGAATTACTATTTGGCAGAACTCAACTAATAATTGGTCTTAAAGAGTAACTATTATTTTGTATTTGTACTGAAAGTAAATTATTACATGCACTATATCCTATATGTTAATAAGGGCTTTTAAAGGGACTCTCCAGTGCCAGGAAAACATATTAGTTTTCCTGGCACTGCAGGACCCTGCAGTGTCCCTCTACCTCCCACCCCATCCCAAGTTGCTGAAGGGGTTAAAACCCCTTCAATGACCGATGTCCCTTGGCGCTGGGTCAGGCTCCTCCTACTCTCCTCCCCCGCCAACGTCAGCCGGCTGGGGAGACCTAATTGCCACGCGCATTAGACCCCCCCCATAGGAAAACATTATTTAATGCAGGGCTGTCCAACCTGCGGCCCCCCAGATGTTGCTGAACTACAACTCCCATGATTCCCTGGTTATCTGTTTAATTGAAAGAATCATGGGAGTTGTGGTTCAGCAACATCTGGAGGGCCACAGGTTGGACAGCCCTGATTTAATGTTTTCCTATGGGGATTTCGACAACGCTGGAGGTCCTCACATAGTATGAGGATGTCCAGCTTCGTATAGCACACTTTTCGTGTTCTAAGAACACGGAAGTCCCTCTAGTGGCTGTCTGACAGACAGCCTCTAGAGGAGGACTTAACCCTACAAGGTAATTATTGATCCACCTCCTCGATGACATCATTATAATTGCCAATTTTCAGGCCAATTCAATGCTGCCTACTGTGTAGCACTGCCCCAGGAAGCATCTCCAGTGGCCAAAACTCTGAAAAGGCAGTGTTTGCATGAAAATGCCTGAAGGCAATGATTTTACTCTCCAGAACAACTACATTAAAGGGACTCTCCAGTGCCAGGAAAACAATCCTATTTCCTGGCACTGCAGGTCCCCTTTCCCTCCCACCTCCCATCCCCGGTTGCTGAAGGGGTGAAAACCCCTTCAGTGACTTACCAGAGGCAGCGACATGTCCCTCCGCTCCGCTCTTCCTCCGCTCACGCTACTCTTCTTCATCACGTCAGCCGGCGCGGGAGACTGATCACGCCTGCCGGCGGGGGAGACCTAATGTGCATTAGACCTCTCCATAGGAAAGCATTGAAAATGCATTTCAGTGCTTTCCTATGGGGATTTTAGCGACGCTGGAAGTCCTCACACAGCATGAGGATGTCCAGCGACACTATAGCACAGACCTGTGCTATAGACCTGGAAGTGCCTTCTAGTGGCTGTGTAGTAGACAGCCACTGTTGGAGGAGTTAATCCTGCATGGTAATAATTGCAGTTTATAAAAACTGTAATAATTACATTTGCAGGGTTAAGGGTAGTGGGAGTTGGCACCCAGACCACTCCAATGGGCAGAAGTGGTCTGGGTGCCTGGCCTGTCCCTTTAAGCTGTAGTTGTTGTGGTGACTATGAATCAGGGCCTCCATCAGGACATGACAACCATAATGGTTGTCATGGGCCCGGCGGTCCTGGGGGGCCCGGACTGCTCTGAGAGTCCCAGGCCCCACATTTCATAAGTGCACATATAGATAGCGATTATTGCTATCTATATGTTCACCTGTGGGCCCCGGATACCTGTGCAATGCAGACGGGGACCAGCCAGCACCATCTTAACTTTCCAGCAGCTCCTGTGCCTGCAACTCTCGCGAGCTACGCGGCCAGCAGAGCGCGGTCACGGGTTACCATGGCAACGCTCTGCGCAGCAAACAGGCACAGCTCGCAAGAGTTACAGGCACAGGAGCTGGCTGGTCCCCGTCTACATTGTACAGCGGCTGGCTCCCTCCACCAGACCACTGGACCACCAGGGATGCAATCTCCCCCCTCCCTAGCCAGGTAAGAAGCAGGGAGGGGGGCATAAAATGGAAATACAACCAAAGAGGCTCCTCCCCCCACCCCCAATGCAGCCCCCTATTTTACATATTTACATACACTAAAACCACCACACAAACACACACTGCATTCACCATACATACACTAAAACTACAACACAAACACACACTGCATTCACCATACACACAGTAAAACCACAACACACACACTACATTCACCATACAAACACTAAAACCACAACACAAACACACACTGCATACACCATACACACACTAAAACCACAACACACACACTGCATTCACCATACAAACACTAAAACCACAAGACAAACACACACTGCATACACCATACACACACTAAAACCACAACACACACACTGCATTTACCATACAAACACTAAAACCACAACACAAACACACACGGCATACACACACTAAAACTACAACACACACACTGCATTCACCATACGCACACTAAAACTACAACACACACACTGCATTCACCACACAAACACGCACTGCATTCACTATACCCACACTAAAACCACAACACAAACACACACTGCATTCACCATACATACACTAAAACTACAATGCAAACACACACTGCATTCACCATACACACACTAAAGCCACAACAAAAACAAAAACTGCATTTACCATACACATACTAAAACCACAACACAAACACACACTGCATTCACCATACACACACTTAAACCACAACACAAACACACACTGCATTCACCATACACACACAAAAAACAACAACAAAAACAAAAACTGCATTCACCATACACACAAAAAACACAACACAAACACACACTGCATTCACCATACACACACTAAACCACAACACAAACACACACTGCATACACACACTAAAACTACAACACACACACTGCATTCACCATACGCACACTAAAATGACAACACACACACTGCATTCACCACACAAACACGCACTGCATTCACTATACCCACACTAAAACCACAACACAAACACACACTGCATTCACCATACATACACTAAAACTACAATGCAAACACACACTGCATTCACCATACACACACTAAAGCCACAACAAAAACAAAAACTGCATTCACCATACACATACTAAAACCACAGCACAAACACACACTGCATTCACCATACACACACTTAAACCACAACACAAACACACACTGCATTCACCATACACACACAAAAAACAACAACAAAAACAAAAACTGCATTCACCATACACACACAAAAAACACAACACAAACACACACTGCATTCACCATACACACACTAAAACCACAACACAAACACACACTGCACTCACCATACACACACTAAAACCACAACAAAAACAAAAACTGCATTCACCATACACACACTAAAACCACAACACAAACACACACTGCATTCACCATACACACACTAAAACCACAACACAAACACTCCACATTCACTACACAAACACATACTTTATCTAAAACACACAAAACTACATGCATTATACAAATGTGCAATCTATATCCATTTTACACACTACACAGGGCATCCTTGTGGGCGGACTCAGAATGGGCCCACGGGGGCGGGCCCCAGGGGCATACACTTTGAATGGTGTCAGGGGCCCCAAAATGTCTAATGGCAGCTCTGACTATAGTGTCCCTTTAAATGCATGCATTATAAAATAATAAAAACAGCCTGCAATAAATGTAACATTTTATTTAAAAAAATAACACAATGCTATTTGATGATAGTTTAAATGAAACTGAAATAAGGTCTGATGGAATTTAATGGACACTTACTTTATCCCCTGCATAAAAGGTAAGTAACTAGAAATCTGAGGCCTACTTATGCCTGCCTTACAACAGTACCTTCTTAATGTTCCACGGCCTCCTTAATATTTCCTACCGCTTTTGAATAAACAGTATAAAACTAACTTTTAAATAAAGCTATTCCTTT